TCAGCAAAAGTATAGTATAGTAATCAATACAACTGTAAATAAAGGACCCCCGGATTCAAATCCTGCGTCTTTTACGGACTTGTTAGGCATACTGCAATTAGGAAAAACTGAAAATTGATTATTAAAAAATGAAGGTTGATATTTATTAAGACTTCAACAACTGTAACAGGAAAATTAATGACAATCAATCAAGATGAGAGGATTCTGAAAAGTTGAAAGCTTCACCCTATCAACATTGTGATCTTGGTGACTAAGAATATTAAACAAGATACCACAATTGTATTATGGCAATCAAAGCTATCAGAAAAAAAAAAAAACTGGAGCTGATCCTTCAAAATAATGTTTTTTTTACATCTGAATAGCATTGGCAAAGATTTCTTCCCTTTTCCATTCTTCTCTATCTAAGTACACTTCAAATATATATTTTTTTTTCCAGGTGGTACTACTATGTTTGGCTGTGTAAAACCACACAGAAGAAAGCAGAGGCCAATTTCAAACTTTATTTTTAATTCTTAGGGAATAGTTTCTCGTGGGATCTCTATTCCCTGTGTTTTTGAGAAGTCTTTTGCCAGCAGTGTAAGTCATAACAGTTAACTACCCCACCCATTCCTTTTTTGAAGAATTTAAAATATCTAACTCCAAACTCCTGTATTTATTCTCTGTAAAACAGATTTGGCAGGTTTTTGCCTTGACTTGTTTTTAATTGCTCTGTTTTTCCCTTTTATTTTAGGAACAGTGAAGAAAAACAGCAGACATCACTGTTACAACAGACGCCATTTTTTAATACCCTCAAGATAATGACACAGTTTTGCATTAAAAGCTCCTATTTGCTTGAAATATTACAGGGTTTATCCACAAAGAATCATGGCTACAAACATTTAATTCAGTCAAAAAAACTATTCCTTAAGACTAGATCCTCCAAGGTCCTGTATTAGATCTGCTACTAAAAGCAATGTTAAAAAACTAAAGCCAGTGGCATATTATACCATAGACAAATTAGGCATTTGCTTAGGATCTTGCAAAGAGGGGAGAACGTTTTCTTGCCCCACATTTGGTAGCAAAATCTCAAAGCTACTCCTGGAGATGGGGGATGGGGCACCCTCTGCATGCTGTCAGAAATAATTACATTTTCTTGGTAATATTTAAAGCATTGTACTGAAAATAAACGAAGAAATTTTAAATATCTAAATAGATCAAAAAGCTCTGTTTAAATCATACTTGTAAAGATATTCATCACTCTGCCTAATTTAATTAAATATTAATTCTTCAATAGACGTTCATATCTGAATGGACCATTTAATCTGGGTTCCTATATAGGTAAATGAAACAATTTTCACAGCATTAATTATTTTTTCATCCCATTAGTGTTTCATCACAGGATGGATCAGCTAGCTATATATTGCCAAATGAAAGATACTTGTACAAAGAGAAAATAAATAACTTAATTTGATTTATATTAATTATTATTACTTTAAAAATATTTCTAAAATAGGCACTCATATATACCTGCATACTTTTTCAGGATAAAGACAAAAAAAGTAAATAAAAGCATTTATAAAATATATCTATGTACTCTATCAAGGTAAGCACAAAAAAGGAGTAAGTGGAAAAAATTAAATAATAATACAATTTAAATAAACATTGCTAAAACTGTTTTTTAACAACACTATTCACTATATCTCTTCTTTCATTTACTTCTTTATAAATCATGTTTTTTTAATATATCCATATGTAGCGTTATATATTAACTTTTAAAAAAGATTCTCATTTGTCTCTTTTCAAAGTTTTCATCCGCTATGTTCAACCATACCTTTCTCTCAATCCATGCACTCTTCCTTCATATATATTTTGCAATTCATTCTCTCTACATTATTATTTACATAGAACTTCAATTTCTAAAACCATCCACTCACAGTTATTTTGGGCAGTTTATAAAGGATTTTAAAAACAGAGAAAATAAATAAATATCACATCATAAAGATTTTACCAGATGTCATTACTTTTCTTTATGTTGGCAAGTTTTAGTAGACATGCCTTTTGAAAAATTTAACACCTTTTAGAAAGCAAACAATGTACTTCTTTCATATTAGTCACTCACTTTCATATTTAATCAGTGATGGGATTCAATTTTTTTTACTACCGGTTCTATGGGCGTGGCTTGGCAGGCGTGGTTTGTGGTCATGTGACTGGGTGGGTGTGGCCTACTCCACATTACTCACGTTGAGGGGCGCCTTGCCTCGCCCCACTTGCCTGGCCTCCCGAGCTCTTCTGGTCTTTGTCTATTAATTTGTCTACTACTACAGTGTCTGGTTGATTATCTAATGCCTGCTTGTTCTTCTGAATCCAGAACTCCCACAGATTCTTAGCTCTATTATTCTCCACGATCTTCCATGGAAACTCCTTTTTCCTGGGATTATGCAGTTGCCTTTCTTCCTCAGAAAAGGCCATATTTTGTTTAAAGAATTTCAGACACATACATCCCTGTCCACCATAGCAAAGCACAGTCCTACCCTTATAATTTTTCTGCTTTTTCAAGACAGGTGGACGCACTTCTAAACAAAACACTCGCTGCAGATAGCTCTCTTTTTCACATTGCAAGAAAGTTCAGAAATGGCTCAGTGAGTTAACAACTTACTGGCTGATTTTGGGCCAGTCATTCCCTCTCTCAACCCAGCCTATCTCACAGGACTGTGGTGGGAAAAATAGGAGGAGGAGGAGGGATATTTGGAATGTTTGCTGCTTTGAATTACTTATAAAAATAATGATGGAATATAAATAAATAAATGATTTTTCTGGAGGATGGTGTTTTGCTTTGTGGCAAGTCAGCCATTTTTTAAAAAGTTTAAACGTATTTTGAACAATATATAAATACAGATGAAGTAGATAAATTGCCAAGCAACTAGTGAGGTATGTACAGGCATACATTGGCCCTCTGGGTGGTACAGATGAGGACTGCAGGCCTCAGATAATTGGTAGAGCATATAAAGGAGTCATTAAATCACCATTCTGTCTTCTTTTTTAATACTGCAAATCCACCCTTCTCAGAGGACTGTTTCTGCAAATTCAGAGAGCCTATCAAAATAGTCAACATGAACAATTTGTAGGAAAAGTCATCACATGAGCTTATTTAAATAATTGGAAAAGACAGCACAAAGTAACTGTGTGGAAACAGGGGCCAATAGTTTTATTTTCATAAAGCGTCGCCAAAAATAGTTGTTTTCAATTCTAAGATACTTCTAACGTACTACTATTAAATATACCTTTTGCTCTCAGTCACCACAAGTGAATACTTCCAAAACTTTCCAAGAGCTTAATTCCAACACTTAAAATCTATAGTGTCACTAGGAGTTGACATATAATCCATTCCAACACCACAAATGTGCAGGACTTTCTCCTCAAAAGTCCCTCATATTATTTTCCAATCTACTAAAAAAAAAATCTTCCCTTCCCCCTCACCATTCTCTCCACCCCCTCTCCCACCCACCCCGGGGCCAAAACCTGGGTAACCACCCTACCTGCCATGCTGTTGTAAGAGTTTGCCAGGCCGGTAGCCCCTGCAGAGGAGGCAGTTGAAGCGGCATCCTTGGAGTCTTCCTGGGCCAGCAACAGTTCTTCAGCTCCAGCAACGCCTTGTGATACTTGCCTACAGCTTCCTGGCACCACTTCTCCTTGTAGCACTGAGCTCCTTGGCTTTTGAAATCCAGCACTCTTGGATCAGCTACTTGGGCTCAGCAGCTGAAGAAATGGCGCTGGATTTCAAAAGCCAAGGAGCTCTGCTACAAGAAGAAAAAGTGCCAGGAAGCTATCGGCAAGAGGCCTGGGAGGAGAGCATTCAGCCAGCATTCAGAGGCAAGTGGGAAATGGCGAGGGCCAGCAACCTGCCTCCAAGACGGTGCGGGCAAACGGAAAATAGTGGAAAACGGAAGGGGCCAGTGGGAAACAGCAGGAAATGGCAGGAAATGGCAGGAACCAGTGGCCTGTCTCCGGACAGCATGGGCTAGCGACTTCATGTATTATTGTAAATATAAAGAAGTTAATGAATCCTGCTGCATCAGTTTATCTGTATGTGCTTCTGGATTTGATTTTTGCAAGAAACTCTGATAGTATATTAAATTGCATCCTTAACAATCCACACCACTGCATTCTGGACTAATGAACAGGTAACCAAATTGTCAACCATAGCTTCAAGCAACTCAGTCAGGGAAGCAGCCCTGCAGAAGAAAGCAAATAGAGCACCAGAAATTCTATCTGTTCCCTAGATCTGAAGTTCAGAAATTACTCAGATTAAGTTTATCTGTCACTTTTTTCTTCCTCCCTATATAGAAAGTCCTGGAGCTACCAAATACCAATTTACATTTTTCAAGGGAGGAAAATGCAACTTTCTCCCACAGAGTTCTCTGAAGTCTTCAAACATTTTGCTCTTACATTTTGTTCTTAATCTTCCCAATCCTCTTTTTGCTATTCTTTCTCTGCTAGCATCAAACTCTTCTGAATCTCCCAACTTCCAAGATCTACCCACTCTTCTTCCCCTTTGGCAAGCACAGTGTACAAACACAGCGTACATATGTCTCACATCCCCTCAATTACAGCTGGCCATTTTTGCTGCTAAAACTGATTAGATTGGTTCTACAATTTAGAGAATCTTCAGACTAAGCAGCACTTTTATTAGTTCCAGTTTTCAATTTTGCATTGTATAAACATATGGATGAACAGGGTTATCTTAACACTGTTTTAGACTTTACAGTCCAGATTAACAATCCATTTTAGGATATGGAAGAAATTTTAAGCAGTGGGGATGCACGGTTTGACCTTTAAAAAGATTTTTTATTGACTTGACATTTTAAAATATTGATATTCTAATTAATGGCCTACTTAAAACTTACAAGTAGAAAAATATCCCCAATATGAAATCATAGAAACAAAAACAAAAAGCAACATTCCAAGTTTCAAAGAAGAACAGTAATTTGAAATACAAGATCCTCTATTTAATTAAGATTTACCATTCAGTCTGAAAGCAGTCTAATGTCCTGTTCATTCCCATTCTGATTAAAAAATTACAAAGAAAATCATCTACAATTTCAGGTGTTTCAGACAAAGATTGTTTAGTGATCTGGCCTGGCCGTTGAGCCTAGAAAGAAAAATTCAGGAGACATTTTAGAAACACCATTTGCCTCATCATTTGTTTCAGGAATTTTTTTTTTAAATTAAAGACTACTTTTTTGTACATTACAGAGAGATATATAGGCTAATGATAGTTTATTTCTTATCATGCAGCTTTTTAGACTAATTTCATAAAGAAACAGCAGTCATGAATCTATCTCAATGAATTGTGATTAACAACTATGTGCAATAATCTGGCAGTTAACTTTGTCCAAGAGTAGCCAAACATCAGGAATTATTTTGGATACTATGATATGAATATTTTAAATATTGTTCTCCATCCTTCTTCACCTTCTAGTAGGATCACTTTTTATTCCTTTGACTCTTCTCCTATATGATGCTGTCCTACAAATCTGGAGCAGCTACTGTAGATGACAGCAAAGAATTAGATTTTTCCTATCATCACAACATAAGCAGCCCTACTTTTTTGATTACCTTGTAGGGGACAGAATAGATCTTGTGTAAGAGTATGGAAGAAGTCTCGGTGTTGGTTTGATGAATACAAATCTAATGCTACACTTCATTGATATATATTAATTTTTGTTATGGACATCTCTGATAAATTCAGATGTCTGAAGAAAAAAGGGGGTAATATCAAATATCCATATGCTACTGTTTTAGGCAATCTGACCCAGTCTAATAGTTGAACTCATGCAAACTGATTGTTTTCTTAAGTCAATTATAAAAAAAACTTTCATATTAAATTATTTTACTATTTTATTTATTATGAACTCATGCAAATTAACATAGCATATATTATGATATCTAAGATATTTACCATAATTTGGGCATCAATAGTCTGTTCATGCATTGTGTGTAAAGCTTTTGCCAGATCTTCATCGCCTTCCTGTAGACTAAAATCTTCATCTGCTGGAATCTAAGTCAAATTATAAATAGATCTAAAATTAATAGGCTCACTGAGAAATGTTTCAGCGTTAAGCATTACAAACTCTTTTAGACAGAGCTAAAACAGGGCTCATATAGAGAAGGTACCATTCTGTGCATGTTAGAATTCAGCTTCAGACTCTGTCATGTCACTCAAATAAGATATAAATAGAAGGAAAAATTCTTTGTCTGGAATCCAGGAAAGCAATTTCTAAACAGGGAAGATTGCATTTAGGGTTTAGTTATGTAGAACAGAAGATGTTTGTGTTTGGCAACCTGTGCAGCCTGTTTTTGTCACTGAAAAAACAATGAGTAGTTAAAACTTGTCAGAAAAAAAATCCAGTGTAACTTCAGACCTCTAACAGATTTCAAAAATTATGCCAACCCTGGAATTGAACTGTCAATAAGAAAGAAGTTTGTTTTAAGTTTTAAAAATATTGCAAATAGCAAAGAAGGGAAAGAGAGTCACCTTGAAGGGAGATGGGTGGCCTAAATTAAATAAATAAAAAAAAATGATGCCACCAAACACTCCAAACGTATTTTTATTCTTGTAAACATTTTTTTCCTTTCCCATAAGATCATTAAGTTTGTTTCAGTATTTTTGGTATTAAAAAAATTAACCATCTTTGCTATTGGGATTTTTTTGCAGCAAGAAATAATTTAAGTGATCAAAAAAAAACAAGTATTGCTAGTACCACATGCCTGTTACCTATAACATGTGAAGTTTATATATTTTTATTTATTTAATGAATTTTGGAGTCTGCTGTTTGTGAATGCTTTTAATGATGTTGAGGATTTAAGCTGCTTGGTAAAGCCAATGTTGCTTTTCTTTTTAGATATGTTCTTTCTGACAGATTTTAGGCTGCTGACCAAGTTGTCTGAAGTTTGGATGGCAAGCAATAATGACTATGCAATACTTTCCCCACTATTTGTGGCCTAAGGATGAAAAATAAGAGCATAGGCATTCCCAATGTTTTGAGTTCCTAATGTTCTCAATCACAAACCATTTAAAACAAAATTCCTTGAATATGAACATGAAAAACACTACTTCATATAGGAAAAAAGGACCACTTGAGTTTTTTCCAGTTTTGTATGAAACATAGCCAATTTAGCATTCTGAAGGGAGCCTTTTTGGTTCAAAGCTCAAAACAAATGAATCTCACCTTTTGACCTGTCAACCTTGACTTTTTAAAAAAATCATGATCAACATAATTTTGAGAAGGCTCGAGTTCTTTTAGAATCTATTAAAACTAATTATCATACAGGTTGAAATTGGATTTTTCTATGCTATATCAGAAACTGCATTCATAATAGCTACCCAGCAACTGTTTGTATATGAACTCTGTAATAGCTCTGCAACTTGATATTCTCAGCATTTGAATTTTGCAGTTGAGTAAATATGATTCAAACATGCTAAAGTAAAATACCACAAAGAATTGTATTTTTCTGGCTTACTTATCATTTTCTTCATTGAGTACATTTTTTACTGATTTTTAACAGATTGAGAAATTTCTTTCTACTGTGTTTTCCCATGAATTTGATAAAATTAGATTTATCCTTGAACGTGTCTTTGTCATATAATTTAATTAATTAATATTTTTATTATTGGCATATTAATAATAGCTTTCTGTTGAGCAAACACTGACAAATTCGTATTTATTCCAGCTTTGGAAGTCTTTAATTTGTAAACTCTGAAACTAAGGTGAATGCTTGACTTTCATTATAAAGGCCAAATTGCTAGTGGAAAAAAAATGGGATTCTGTAAAAAGAAATAATCTTGTCCATTTTATATTGGTCCTGGGCTCTGAATTCTGATGCATCTAATCAAAATTCTCATGCCTAATTACTATTCTAACAGGAAGACCTCATGGCTCATGCTTTTCCTAATTTTATTCCAGAATTAGTTTTTCCATTAGTGAAATGGTCTATTTTCCTTGTCCATTCATATCAAATTGGTCCAGTTTCAGAGTTGAATAATTCTAATTTAGATAGTGATACTAAAATATTCATTTTAATAATGTGGCTTGGTAATAAGATTCAAGGTGGTGAATTGACAAATTTTCCAGCTTGAATTTAGTATCCTGGCTAAACTGGCTGATGTTTTTTCATTTCTTATCCTCCTGTTTATAATTGTTTGATTATAAATGATTACTAAATTGTTCATATTCATTAAAAAAAAGTTTTAAAAAGCCATTTCTAATGAGATCAGGAAATAAATTCCAATTTCATAATATTAATTTTATATGGAAAGGGAGACCTATTTACTATTAATTTATCAAGATTGGATAGCAAGATCAGAGAATGGATTGGAACTTCATATGCATAAAGTGCTACTTTAAGTTCTTACCTCTTCATATTGATAGTCATCTTCAGAACTTTCAGTTATTGTAACCTCTGCATGTTTAGTTAAGTCTACAATATGAAATTGTATTGGTTACAACATGATTTAATATTATACCTGATATGCGTACAGAGTGCTATTTTGGGGCAATGTATTCATTTTGTATAAATATTTGACTACTAATACTAAAATTAATTTAGCTGCTCATTCTGGTGAGATGGCAAAGAAATTTAATAACTAAATAAAATAAAATAAATCCTAACCCTAATTTATGAACATAATGTAATCAGTTTTAACTTTGTTTTTTCAAACAAAGGTGCTGTGCAGGTCATAGACAGTGTGAAAGGGGTAGCATAGATTGGGAAGAGTGTGTGTGTGAGTTCACAAGAGGTTCTGCATGGGTCAGGAAAGGAACACCAGAGGAGTGCATATTGAGGATGATCATGGGGGTATACAAGAGGTGTTATGTGAGTGAGGGATGGTGTACATGGTGTAGCACAGACTGGGAAGGGTGCATAAGGGCATGCAAAAGGTGCTGCATGGGGGGGGGCATTACATGTCATTGGAGTGCACAGAACAGCGGCATGTGCCAAGAAGATTATACAAGAGTTCCTTCCTCCCTATTTTCTTTCCTTTCTCCCCTTCCCTTTCCAGCAGGCAGGTGTCTGTTGTTGGGTGGGGGAGAGAGCGGGTGATTGTGAGACTGGCTGGGAAACTTTCACAGAACATTTAAAATGAAGATCATGTGACTGAAGGAGCCTTCCAGCAACAGAGCAGCAGCCACTAGGACTGAAGCATCACAACTTTTCCAAATTTCATTTGGGAGCCATGGGTCCCAGATTTTGGACACATTCTGTAATTTAGGCCATTTGAGGTATCAGGGTTCAAAAATTATTGCCATGTGATAGACCATTTCTCCCAGTTAAAGATGATGACAAGAATTTTAGTAGTATACATATTCATAACTCCGAGTATTCCTTTCCCTGAATAGTAGACACTTGATATATTTCTTTTTATTTCCAAATCATTTTCAGAGTGCTGGGAACAGAATAAATGCAAAAAAATTGTATCCAGATCAGAAAATAATGATACCTGAACTTACAAAGTTAACAAAGGCAACCACTATGACAACATTAATGAGTTATTTTGCACAAGACACAGAAATGGATAGCAACTGCACAAATAGTACTAATAAGATTCTATACAACTTATTAATATTAAAGATATGGTTTGCTCAAAATCTGAACAGTACTGAATTAGGCTAATTAGAGTTCAAATCAAATAATTATCTTAACTCAAATATTTTCTTTTAAAGCAGATCAAGCCTGAATGTAAATATATGTAAAACACAAGTATTAGTTTATGGATATACGGTGATGAAGGAATACATTACATTTTTATCCAAACATTTCACATAGGAAAATGCCATGGTAGAAAGGATTAAAGAGAAAACAGAAATAGGTAGTTAAATCACCAATAGGTAGTGTTCTGGCAGAAAAATTTTGAAGTAATATATTGCAGAATTTCAGAAACTTCACTGATATTAGCTAGCTTTCTTTCTTAGAGATGCTATAAGCATTTGTTCAAAAACAGTAATTCAGTTTTGTCCCAAAAATCAGTTTGACTGTTATTAGAGCATCATTGCACATATCTATATTTTGCAATAAAGCTTACATGGGAAAAGTATAGGTAATGGTTCCCGATACTGTAAACCAAATCTCTTATTTCTCAGCCTCTTTGAATCCTAACTATCTGTTTATGTATTTGATTTTGTCAGCCTCAGCTTTGCCTGCTTCAGCTGCCATAAGAAACAGGGGAGGGATTAGTTATGGGGCGAAGGGTGGGAAGATGCAGGAGGTGTTTTTTTTTTCCTTGTAGGACGTGTCTTCATAAGAAATGAAAGTGAATCTTCAAAGGGGACGGCTGACCAACTGCCCTACATTCCTGATGAATGACGCTGCCAGACGTGATGCCACCTGACCTTTGGAAGACCTTTGGATTGGCTGATGATCAATGGACACGGGGGGGGGGAGAAGCTTAGTAGATGCATTTCGCGCGTTTTGCTCACTTCCAGCTTTACCTGGGTTGCGATCATTTCATATTCAGTAAAAGTACTAATCTCTTCAAAATGTTTGAGTTTGGGTTTTCCTTTCCTGGATACTGAAGGAAGCATACCTGACATTAAGCTGGAAGTCACATCCAGTCATCCCGGACAAAAACCGAGGGGACTGTAAATCCAAATTATGTCAGATCGAGGGAGTGATGGGGAAGAGAAAATGGGGGCAGCGAGTTCAACGGCAGCCGCCCTCCAAACGGAGAAAGAGACTGCAGAATGGTTGGAACGACTCCGTTTAGAGCCGGAGGAAGCTAGATGGTCGAAAGGAGTGGGGAGACTGCCGGACTGGGGGGAGGACCCCCGGGGAGTGACGACTTCCAGACCCCGTAAAAAGGAGGCAGTGTGGATGCAAGAGCAAAAGGAACGTCTCATGATAGAACAAGCCTTGCAGCTTATCCGTGATGTAGAAGAAAGCAGAAAAAACCGTGAGTCTTTTGGAATTCCTGTGGAGAAGGGGGGAGCAGGCCCCAGGGGGGAGCCAGAAGAGACAGCCTGCGGGGGAGAGGAAGAGTTTGAGGAGGAAACATCCCAGGCTTCGGCAGCTCGAGGAAGAGATGCAGCCGGCCAGAGAATCCCAGCCTTGCAGCCCCCGCAGACGAAAAAAGCCAAAAATCCCCCCCCCTTCCTGGGAAGTTTGATGGGAATCCTAAAGCCTTGGGATTTTTCCTGACTCAAGTGTGGAACCACATGCAGGATTGGGGGGAGGACTACGAAACAGAGGCGGCTAAAGTCAGAAGCGTCGCGAATACCCTAGAGGGAGTAGTTGCTGAGTGGATGGTGGTTCTCCACAATAACAACTCCCTCTTGCTGAGAAATTACAACCAGTTCATGAGGGCCCTTAGGAGGCGTTTTGAAGACCATTTAGCTGAACGAAAGGCGAGACTCAGAATGAAGAGCATTCAGCAGGGCCGGAGGCCGGTGGCAGAGTATATCCAAGAGTTTCGTGAACTGGCACCCTATATGACAGGCTGGTCAGAGATGGCTCTTTTGGAGTTTCAAGGATGGGTTGAATGAAGAGATATATCGAGACTGCAGAAGCATGGGGGTCCCCGATGATTTGGATAGATGGTACATAGTAGCTGAGGATGTAGAGATCGAGCTGAGATGGAGCGAACTCCGAGGAAGGCCGATGGGGGACCAGTCATCCTCTTTCCACCGTAAGGGAGCACCCAAGATGACTGGCGGGAAGACCGAATTCAAACCCAAGTCAAAGCCCTTCACCTGTTTCAAATGTGGGAAGGAGGGTCACGGGCTGCCGAATGTTTCTCCAAGCCACCGCCAAAAGCTACCGGGGCCGACCAAAAGAAAGGCGACAAAATACCCGCCAAAACCCGCAGCACCGCCCTGAAAGGAGAAGTCGTTGAGTTCACTCCCCGAAACCAGGGTGAGTTGGGAACTCCGACCAACGATGACGACAGCGAGACGGACTCCGACTCCGACACCGATGATCGGGTGAGTCACACAGAAGAACCCTTACTCATCCCTGTAGAAATAAAGGTGCCCTCCACAGGGACTCAAGCGCAATTGTTAGCCCTGTTGGACTCGGGGTGCACTAGGTGCATAATTAGCCCCAAAGTAGTGGAGGAAATGGGACTGAGACTAAAAACTTTAAAAAGACCCATTGCATTCTGTCAATTAGACAGGTCAATTGCAGGAGGGGGCCCAGCTAGCTTTATGACCGAACCCCTTGAACTGCAGTTGGGGAATCATGTAGAAAATCTCAGATTTATTGTAGCCCTTGGGATGGAGAGACCCCTCATTCTAGGACTGCCCTGGCTTCGAAAATGGAACCCACGGGTAAATTGGAAGACGGGGGTCCTGCGCATCCGCACGGCAGAACCAACTCCGGAAAAGGAAAGCCTCCCCCCCCCGAGAGACGACATAAAATCAGAAAGGGCGACAGTAGCCATTAGCCATATTGAGGGAGAAGAGAAAATTCCAAAGGAATATTGGGATCTCAAGGAAGTTTTTAGCGAAAAGGCATCGGATGCTCTACCTCCCCACAGGGCCACCGACTGCACCATTGAAATCCTTCCTGGGGTGAAGCTTCCCAAACCAAAAATTTACCCCATGACACCTCGAGAATTGGGGGAATTGCGAAATTTTATTGACAAAAACTTAGAACGGGGATTCATCGAACGAGCCAAACCCAAGGTGGCGGCGCCAGTAATGTTCCGCGAAAAGAAGGATGGATCCTTTTGTCTCGTAGTTGATTATAGAAATATGAACGCGATTTGCGTAGAAAACGTCTACCCCCTCCCACTCATGAAGGACATGTTAGCCCATTTAGGGAAGGGAAAAATTTTCACCAAACTTGATTTAAGAGAGGCATACTACCGAGTGAGAATAAAAGAGGGGGATGAATGGAAGACAGCATTTAATTGCCCTCTGGGATGTTTCCAGTTCAGAGTACTCCCTTTTGGACTACAGGGAACCCCGGCTGTATTCATGCAGCTGATCAACGAAGTATTGCATGAGCACCTGTATAAGGGGGTGTTGGTCTATTTGGATGACATTCTGATCTATTCTGACAACATGGCCGACCATGTAAAGTTGGTACGGACGGTCTTGAAGAAACTCAGAGCAGCTGAACTCTATGCCAAGCTTTCTAAATGTGAATTTCACCAAGACAAAATCGACTATCTTGGATATCGTATCTCGCATGAGGGAATAGAGATGGACCCTGAAAAGGTCCGGGCAGTGCTGGAATGGGCCGCACCGCGCACCCGTAAACAGTTACAGAGTTTCTTAGGGTTTGCTAACTTTTATAGACAATTTATCCCCTCTTTCGCGAAAATCGCACTACCAATTACAGACTTGCTAAAAACCAAAGGGGAAGTTAAGCCCAAACCCTCGAAACCACTAGAATGGACTATGGACTGTCAAGCTGCTTTCGAAAAATTGAAATGACTTTTTGCGACTGAACCTATGCTCAAA